GTTACCAATTTACTACACGATAATACAGGGAAAGTAAAGAGACAACTTTGACAATGATTCATTTGGCGCATGGCCTCGAATTTGATGCCAGTTGCATAATCAACTTAGAGCCTTGTTTTCGCGTTCGAGGCCCATTTGAAGTGTCTTTATTTGCGATTTGACAACAAACAAAGCGAACAACGAGCGTGGGCAGTAAATTCAATAATTGTTGAGTGCACTCAAACATTTATTCAAATCTGATATGAAATTAAAGAAAATATAAATTTAACTTCAGTTGTTATAAGACAAAACGTGGCTCATTTGAATGTTGACTCTGTCGCTGAGTAATTTCCTTACAAAAATAAAAGACAAACGAATGCAAATATGAATATACTCATTCATTCATTGAAATATTGCCGGCTGCTGTATTTGATTTGTGTGCCGCAAAATTAATTATTATTAAAGTGTGGTTTCTTCTATTCAGTACGTTTAATGGCTGAAGATGATTTAATGCGTCGTTTTATTTTTATTTGCCTCATCTCAACTTTCACCTGGGTTCGTTTAAGTGAAACTTGCTGCCTAATGACTGAGCATTTCTTTTAATTAGAAGACTCATCATGCGAGAGTATTTACAATAAACATTTCCCAGTGCCGAACAATGGGCGGAACCGCCAAGTTTGTTGAACCTGTTGTCAAGTTGACAAGGTGCGTGCCAAGGGGCAATGCACAGAGTTATTTATTTTTTTTTGTTACCAACTGTCAAATGAATTAAAATGTATCCGACATTAATCGCATCCAGAAATGAAAGATTGAAGTGGGATTATTTTTCAGGAACACGTTTTCAAGATGGGCAAAGATTTGAGATAATTTTAATAATAATGATAATAATAATAAAAACAGTAATAATAATAATAATAATTTTAAAAATATTAAAATATACGCTGTTATTATTAACTGAACTACAGCTATAATTCGCAACCGGTTCTAGAGCTCAGTGTGTCAAGTTCTTGGCCAGCGAATGGCTGACAAACGCTTGTCAAGTGTCTTTTCTTCTTCTGCTGTTTGTTGTTTGCCGGCCCGAAAACACATACACGAAATGTCACTCCATAAATCCAATTGATTTGCATATGCGTATATATATATATGTAGGGCTGCCGTTATTTTGACATATCTGCTCAGTCATTGCGGCCATGAATCACCAGCCGTACGAACAGCTAAAGGTCCAGTTTGGGTCCAGTTTGGGTCCAGCCACGCTGCACATGCCCCAAAAAAAAAAAAAAAAAATAATTCATGCCTCACCGTGCAACGCGTTGCAACTGCAGCGAATTAATTTATCAACATTTACCGATACAATGTCAACGCTGCCACAGCAGGAAGACAGGGGAGAGAAAAGTTCAGCATTAAAAGGCTATAAATTTTATAAGTATATATATACATCTCCCCCTCCTTCTCGCCCTCTCTCTCGCTGTCTCTCTGTCTCACTTTTGGCAACTGGCCGCGCCGGGCAGGCAAAGTTCCAAGAAGTTGGCAAGACAGTCGTCGTCAGTCGGGCAATTTGATCTGGCCAAAACAGTTTTTTGTGTGTTTGAAGAAAACTCCCGACCAAAGTTTGATTTATGCGTCGAGATGCTCAATGGGCGATACGATGGCGACGGGATGCAGCAGGAGACGGTTAACCAGAAGAAAAACAACCCAACTAAACGGCACGACTACCAAACGCGCCGTGTGCCCGCCGGACAAATGCTGCATAGACATAAATTATAAGCCATGGCTAAGTAGGAAACTCTTAAGCAGCAGCAGCAGCAGCAGCTAAGCACAATGGTAGCTCAGTCAAATAACCAGACACAATTTTAAATATTACACAGGGCTGCAAGCGATAGTTCTGTGGTTTGAACCAGCTTCGTGATAGTTGTTGGCTCTAATCTTAGTTTTGATATATATTCAAAATTTTAATGAAATAAGTTTTGCTTTTACATTAAATAAATATTTGGTTCGAGCCAGCTTCGTGCCAGTTGTTGGTTCAAACGTCAGTTTTGATTTATTTTAAAAGTTTGTATGAAGTATGTTTTTTTTAAACATTTTTTATATACTTATAAATATTTTCATATACGATATGCTTGCTAAATTTGATGCAAGCGATGGTTCGAACTAGTGATTGAACCAGCTTCCTGTCAGTTGTTGGTTCAAACCTAGGTTTTTATATATTTTCCAAATTGATCGTCCTAGCGATGGTTCGGACTATGGTTTGAGAAGCTGGTTCAAATCTTAGTTTGGATGTTTTCGAATTCGAATGAAATAAGTTTTTCTTTAACATTTGCCTGAATATATTGACATTCCTCAATATTTTTATATACGAGATGCGGACTACATTTTATGCAAGCGTTGTTTCGGGCTATAGTTCGAGCCAGCATTCTGCCAGTTGTTGGTTCAAACCTCAGTTTTTAAATATTTTCCAAATTCGAATGAAATGTTATTCTTTTACATTTGCCTGTATATTTTACATACACGAGCTGCGGGCTAAATTTGAACTCTGCCCAAAATTGACATCGAACAAATATGTTTAGATAAGTTAAATTATTGGGGTTTTCCCAAATGGTTGCATTTACTTTTGAGCTGGGTCTAGCTGAGAAGTTTTTCCCATTGGTTCGGCACAAAATCTCGATTTTCACTCTAATACTTTTAGTTGTTCACACTTCTCGCAATATTTACTGGAACTAGCTCTTAGAAATCGTTTTACTTATTTAACTTTCTCGAATTAAAGCCTATCAATAGATTTATATTAGCAATTTAACATATTCGGCTCCATTGTATATAAATCTTTTCCGGCGTTATAGTTTCTCTTTCCATCATATTGTTTACAAATATTTAACGAAAGTTTACAGTTTATCCAAGAAGTAAACACACACACTCGCACACACACACTTCCTGGCCTGGGTGTTGCAAACTCTGGGGGATTGTCATGTTGCATGCCCCATCGAATGGGCTCCTTGGCTACCACGCGGCAACATGTTGCATTCACGTCAATGTTGCGCCTTTGTCTCGTAAATTTTAACATTTTTATTATAAAACCAAAATGTGCTTGTTGTCGTTTGTTGTTGTTGCTTACTTTTTTTTTCACACAATGCGCGCGCGATTTATTTTGTATGCATTTCCAAGCTGAAATTGATTAATTACAAAACGGAAGAGCTGGCTGAGTTATCGATGGGCTGCTGCTGCGTTTGCTTTAGGCCCAGTTCCAGTCCCAGTTAAAGTTAGCTCAAAGTTAAAGCCAAGCCAAGCCTTTGTTTTCCATGAACTCATCATTTTTCAAGCTTAATGTTATATTTTTGTTATTATTATTTTATTATTATTATTTACATTACAAAAAAACGCAATACACAACTTTTGTAAGTCACGGCTCAGTTGGTCAGTTTTATTTATTGTTCTATTTGAAGGCCGCAGCTCGGAGTTCCAAACGAAATGAATTATCGGAATGACACTGAACTATTGAACCTGTGCTTACTAGGTACAGTGGTAACTCGCCAACTAGAACGATTCGTTGATAAAGTTAACCAGCTATTCAAAATTGTATGATGATGCATTAATAAATATTAATAAAATGTTGCTAACATGAGGCATGTAATTAATTTCAATCATGCCATTCTTTTCTTATTTCGGACAGTTCTCATTACGTAGAGAGCACTGTACTTATATTAAAGTACGCGTCTTGAATATGCTTGATAAGTCAGTTCTGACACGTTTAGGAAAATAATTTTAGAAACCCAATTTTTGTATAGTCCCATTTGTTTTATTATTTACTTGTGAGCTATAAAACTGGCTGACACTCTGACAGTATAATTGAAAGAAGAAGAAAGATCGGGATGAGATTAGTTTCGTATTTCTTTTGATATTTACTTGTGATGCTCGCACTGAAATCGTGTGGGGCGTGTCCACGGATCGCTTAAATTGTTTACACCAAACCGTTTTGCGTCTGGCGCCAATGCAAAGACTTCCACTTGGAGTGCAGTTGGCGCCGGATCTTCAATTGCAAATGGAATGCAAAGAGCTGAAAAGCAGCGAGTGGGGAGTAGGCAATTGCAGTATGCAATTTGCAAGTTCCAAATGGGTTTTGATCTCTCGCGGCAATCTCGTGTGTATACGAGTACTCTTCCATTATAAAGCTAAAGATACAGCCAAAGAAACAGTCAAAGCAATTAGCTGAAATCGACTCGCTGGATACATATACAAAATAGAATTTTTAAAACTCATCTGAGCTGTTGTTTTTTGATGTCACATGTGTCGCCTCTTAACGACGCTGAGCTACTTTAGTTCCATGGAATTTGGTTTTTTTTTTTTTAATGAGCTATTAAAATGTTGAAAGTCTGTGAACCATATACACACATTGTCTACAGCAATGTCATGGAGCTTAATGTGCGAAGAGAGACAAGTACCAAAGGTTTAATGACAGCGTCTTTTCATGGTTCTCTTTCTATAATGTAAATAAATATGGCACTAATATATAACATAAATATATCTCCATATAAAAAATGTTTGACATGTTTGCATCTGATCGGGCTCAACTTCAAAGTTCTTTATTCAAATTTATTTGAGAGGTGTTTCAACTTTTCCAAATATGAGGAGGACTTGGTGGAAATGGGGTTCAAAGATTTGGTGTGTGACGTTTCGCGCTTAAATTCATTTCCAATAATTCATAAGAAAAATCATTTGAGACGTGTTTTACATTTTAGGCAGAATCAAAGCATCCTCGTTTAAAAATGCGTCCGATCAGTTTCAGAATCATTTTCAAAGCTTTTTGAGGACGGGCAAAGCCGGGCTATAACCGCTGCTCTCTTATATACCCAATCAAAGGGCTCTTAAATCCTGGAAATAAATATTTTAAATAGCTAAGATTTGTAAATATTTAAGCAACATATTTGCATTTTAAGTTAACAGTTAGTAAAAAATTATTAAAATAAATTTATACTTTAATAATTTCAAAAATGTAATTAATCTTTAAATTTACCTTCTCTCTTCTCTTTTAGGTAAGTTTCACACGCCTTTTACTTCATTTTTCTTGCCAAGGAAGTCAAACCAAAGTGTTTTGTAAGTTGTGCTAAAGAGATTTTTGCACCTTGTATCCCTGCAAAGGCCACATGAAAGTATGTTAAATATTTTACCAATTCGTCAACTATTCTTGTGGCAAGTGCATTGATTAACACATTCTGTGAATTATTTACATAAATGACTCAGCGATGCTGTCACTCCCGCATTAGTCAGCTTTGCAGCTAATCTATCTATTAAGATAATGTATAAAACAAATGTGAATAACCCGAGATATTATATAAGTCTATCTAGATCGGTCAGCTCTATATCTTAAGCTCTTTAGACATTAGCTGCAATTTTATTTAGTTTAACTTGAAATCAAACTGAATTTATTTCATGCTGGTTTGCCAGCTCATTAAACCTAATTAGGAATACATCGAATGCGCTTTCAGAAGCCAGTTTCATTTTGAGATCCTTTGATTAATTGGCTAACTTTTGCGCATCAGCGCACAACAAAGCAGCTGAGCCTTATGAAGTTTACCTGATTTATTTTTGGCTTCTGATACGAAATTCATAATTCAGAATCAAATTTATGTTTGCACAGCTCAATTTTTGCCCAGGCAACAAAAACAAAAAAAAAAAAAACTGTTGACTCTTCTCAGAACTCAGACGGGGTCTCTATACATATATATATATATATATGAATTCAAACATATTTAATAATCGTCGGCAAAGCTACAAAGTCTGGCAAGTCGCAGACTTGCAAAAAAAAAAAAAAAAAACTAAGCAAACTTCAACTGAAAAGTGAAGCGAGCTTCAAAAACTTCTCGCAAGCCCAAAAAGCATTGAAAACAAACGCAGCGTATTTGCTTTATTTGCAATAGATACAACCTGAACGATGTGAAGATACATTAACCTTCGTGTTTTCGGTCGTTTCGACAATTCTGGTTGTTTTTGGTTGCGCAAATACGACAGCGACAGCGACAGCGACAACGACGACAGCAACTTTGTATCTAAAATCAACAAGTTCACAACGAACATGAAAAAAGATAAAACCTTTAAGCCTCAGGCACACACACACGCTCTCATTCATTGTCAGGCGTTTGCTTAGACAACAAACAAAAACCTCAAAAAAAAATTAGAGAACAACCCAGCAAAATCATCCAGTTAACTGACATAGAACTCCACAAACACGTAAATACTTACCCGAATACGACTCAAATATAGAACGTAACTCGATCAGATAATTCAATTTTGTGACACTCTAGTGAGTCGTCTTTTTTAGGGTGGGCCACGAGTGAGCGAGAGAGTGAGAGTGGGGGAGTGTTTTGAAGTGTTTTGGCTTCATTAGTTTGTTTGATTAAAATTTAAGTTTGAATTTACGAATGAGTAATGTGTTCGGAATAAAGTGAAATTGATCCGCAGTTAGTCAAAGCAAAGGTCTAAGCCCTGTATCAAAATCGTTTAATTATTTTTGAGTAATTTTTTCTATACCCTGCATCCATTAAAATGTTTAAAGAGGGTATATTAAAGTTGTGCAGACCCCACTGATTGCTTTTTCTGGTGAGAATGAACAGTTTTGCCAGGCACGGGCAGGGAAGATCTTCGATATTTTATCGATAACTCTCATCCTTAGACCCAAAATTTCGATTAATATCGCTTACCAGTTTCCTGTTGCTAAAGATCGTGAAATTCTTGATTTAAATGAATGCAAAGCGATAAATTGTATTTTCAGTCACGTTATCTGAGCGAAATTTCTGGTTTTTGAAATTCTTTAAGAATTTGGTTAGTCTATAATTGCTCAAGATTTTTGCAAAAACCGATAAATATCGATTTTCAATCGGCGAGATTTTAGGTTTTCAAATTCGTAAAGAAAGTTAGTCGTTAATTGCTCAAGATTTCTGCGCAAATCGATAAATATCGATATATACCATTTTTAAATTCTAAAATCGATACTTTAGTTGGGAGTTCTTCGAGATTTCTGCAGCAAAATGCCAAGCTTTGTCTGATTGTTACACATAAATATCAACTTGCAGCAACTGGCAACAAATGTAAATTACAGCAATTTATCGAGTTGCTGGCGCAAATATTTGATGACAATCTCACATGCAACCGCTGCAAAGTACCTTTCACCAAGGCAACACTTTTGTGGCATCCGTGAAACATGCCCCATAAATATCCGCGAGCCACCACCAACTATCGTAATTTGGTGCGGCGAGTGCGGGCAATTCGATTACTTCGATTACCACAAGTGCAATGGAGGCCATGAGTAATGCAAATGGAACCTGGACACTGGAAATTGATACTTGGCTCACTTTGAACTCGAACAACAGCAGTTGAGGTCGTTGAAATGGTTATTCAATACAAACGTATTCGGTAATTTGGATGTTATTTCAGCTGCGATTGCAATTTCAAAACAAATGGCTTCGCAAAAGACGAAATTCTATCTACTCTAACCGATTCCAACAATTAAATATCTCAATTTTGGAATCTTTATAATAGATATATCTTTCTCTTCTATGAAAGATTACTTTTGAGTTAGGTTAAGTGCAGCACAAGTTTGAGTTCTTAGAAGTTTAGGGCTTTAATTGCAAACATGTAACCAGACATTGCCTTGGCGATGAATCTCCCCGCCTCAGCTGAAGCTCCTAGACAACAGCAAACAAATACTTTAGCCGGCACTCAATCGATTTACCAGCTAAGCGTCATGCAGTACAGTTGGCTGCCACAGGAACGGCGCGAGGTGAGAATAAGGGAGAAGCCTCCTTTGGTTATATCGCTGCAGCGCTATGCGCGGCTCCAGGCGAATGCCTGCCAGGCAGACAAGGAGCAGCAGCGGCAGAGGCAGCAGCAGCGACAGCTTTACGAGGAGCAGCTGCGTCTGGGCGGCGAGGAGCTGCTGCGTCGCTTCGGCGGTCGCAAGCTGTGCCCCACAGCGGAGGAGCAGTGCCGCAGAGCTCAGCAGCAGCAGCAGGCGGAGCAGCAGCTGGCCAAGCAGCGTGCGCTCGAGGAGAGCGACGCGGTGCAGCGTGAGGAGCAGCTCAGGCAGCGGCAGCGCATCGAAAAGGCGCAGCAGCTGCTGGAGCAGCTGCGTCCGGGACCGCGGGAACTGCACTGCGCCAAGCAGCAGAGTCAGGTGCTGCGAGGCATCATTGCCCAGAGGCAGATGCAGGCACAGTTTGCGGCGGCAGCGGAGCAGCAGCGCACGCTGGACAGGCGCAACTACAGCGAGCAGGTGCTCAATGGGCTGGAAGAGGCGCAGTTGCGTCTACAGGAGCGACGCCAGCAGTTGGGCCAGCACAAGCGCGATCTGCTCAAATCCATCGAGCAGCGGCAGCAGGAACGCAGCGCGGCCAAAGCGGAGCAGCTGGAGCTGGCACGCCAGGAGCGGCAGCGCAACGAGCTGCAACTGAAGCAGCAGCTGGACAAGGAGCGCGCTGAGCAGGCGGCCAAGCTGCAGCAGAGACGCCAGCACACGCTGGCATCCCTAGAGGCAGCCGAGCAGCGGCGGCAGCAAATGCAGCTTTTAGATAAGGTGGAACTGGCGATATGCGAGCTGCACAACGAGGCAAAGGCCAAGCTGGACGGCCTGAAGATCGACCTGGCCAAGCAGCGTGTGCAGCGGCGACTGCAGCGCAACGAGCAGCTGGCCAAGGAGCTGGCACCGCGGCTGCACTACAGCGCTGGCGAGGATCAGCTGCGCCACGAGCGCCAGCTGGCGGAGATGCGACGAGCGCATAGTGTCGAGCAGCAGACAGCTCGCCAGCGACGGCAGCAGATGAAGGCCGAACGCCTGGCCATGCAGCGGTCCGAGCAGGAGCAGGCCGAGGCGGCCAAGCGGCAAGCGGAGGCACAACGTCGCGACGACATGGACAGACGTGTGCAAAACGAGCTGATTCACGTGCAGTTCAAGCGGCAGCAGCGCCAGGAGCAGCTGCGTCGCCAGCACGAGCTGCGCGCGCAGCTGGACAAACAGGAGCAGCTGCGTCGCAACGAGGAAGCGCGTCCGACCACCAACTACAATCGACTGGCGCAGCTGGAGTGCTTGCGCGAGGATGCCCAGTTCATGGAGTACGCCTATCGGCTGATGACCGAGGCGCAGGCCAAGGGCTGTCCTCTCAGGCCATTCGTGCGCGTTCTGGACCAGTACAAAAGCCAGAATCGTATTGGCGCCGAGGTGCGGATACCACGACATCTGATCACCAAATTGAGCATGGGACGACGCACCAAAGGCGACAGCTCGCCGCAACAGGGGAAGGAGACCATGGATCAGGCAGCAAATGAGGAGGAAGAGTACAAAAGAAAAATTGAGCAGAATCTCAAGAAAATTGAGGCCCTGCTGCTGGCCGAATCAAAGCTCAAGGACGAGCCGAAGAACTAAGAAATGGCAGTGCGAAAACAGGTCCGGAATCAAGGAAGGAATCAAGGAAGTACTCAAAGGACAAGCTATTCATAGAGGGCATCTTTGATGTTACCTCTAGAATATCTTGCTGAAGTTCCCCTATATATTTTATATATATTTATATAAGATTTATCTATACCAGCTCCTAAAATAATCATTTGAAGTTAAAGCTCATTTTAAGTATAAAAATGATTCAATTTAACAACTCAAATTTATAAATCTTCCCTTTTACTCGCAGTGTATACATATAAATCTTGTAAAATCAAGTTTTATCTATACAAGCTCTTCTCGTTCTTCTTATTTTAAGTTTAAAAATGATTAAATTTAGCTCCTCCCAGTGTATTTTAAATTAAAAAAAGCATATGCTAGATTTTGATTGATTTCGGCCTTTCATACACTTGACTTCTTCTGTTTTATATATTCCTATATAATTCTGGCAAAATCAAGATTTATCTATACAAGCTTTTCTTCAGAGAACCAGTTGAAGACAAAGCTCATTTTAAGATGTGAAAATGATTAAATTGAGCTACCTAAATTTATGAGTCTTTCCTCTTAGTCCTTTTAGTCTTCCCTTTAATCCCAATCTATGCTACATTTTGATTGATTTCTGCCTTTTATACACACTTGACTTCGTGTGATTTGCATTTTTAATATCCATTTAACTATTAATTGTGTTATTTTGTGCAGAATGTCAATTGTTTGTCTAAAAATGTTGTCATTATTTTGATTAATTAGCCAAGTTAGCGCTTGTTGACAACTGTCAACGCAAATGGCAAACATTTTCCCCAAATGCCATTCGCGATGGCTTAATTATGTCCAAAACTTATGTCTTGACCATTTGGCAAGCGCTGCAACTGTTCGCTGTGAATATGGCGACGGGCTTTTTGTGATAAAAAAAAAAAAATTAAAAAAAATAAATAAATGTGGTTAAATGTGCGCAATTTACGGGTGGATATTACGAACTGGTCTTTGCTTGTCAAATTGTCAACTCATTTCCTGATCGCTGCCGAACCCCCAAAAAGGGCACGCTTCATTTGGCTCACATTCAAATCCATTGAATCGTATCTGTATCTGTTTCTGTAACTGAAGTTTCAATAAATTTAATTAACACTTGCCTGCGAATGGCCACTAAACGAATCTTACAATGAGCTCTTTATAAAAACCCAAAAACTGTGCGCATTACAAACAAAAGTCAAGTGGAACACTGAGGCGTAACCATTAGGCCCTTGAATTGGGTCAGTGATTTAACGTTGTCTACGTCTATTTTGAAGGCCCCACCCAACCCCATGAGTAAGGCCTACAAAACAAGCACGAACTCATGCGGACGGCGATAAAGGTAAACTAGTTACTCATATCTATAGAGTATGCCACTTGGAACCACAGCTATTTATTTATCGAGGTGGTCAGTTTGGCTTGAAAGTAAACCTAATGCCTATTAATGATCATATATTTGTAACATCTACCTTAAATGTAATCGGTGCTATGTTACGCAGAGATATTGTTGGATATTCTACTAAAAGTGCAGTAAAGTGTATGTGAATATTATGTTCCCAATGAATTATACTGAAATTATCAACCAAATGCAATTGAATCTTTAAAACAGAAGCAACATTTATAAATGTTAAAAACCATGCAAGCAATAGACAACAGCTTTTCATAGATTACAATGCATGTTAAGTCTTTTGTTTCAATATAAACTGTAAAAGGTATTTAAATTTCGGGTGTTCTTTGGGTATAATAATTACACCCATAAATTATGAAAGGTAATGTTAAAGCGTGTGTTAACATATGGGGTATATTCTAAGGTAAAAATGCATGTTAAGTAGGGAATTCCTGTTAAAAAATGACTGTTAAGTGGAGAATCGATGTTAAGTAAACATGCATGTTAAGCTTAGACATGCATGTTAACTTTGCAGTTAATGTTAAGTTTTATTTACGGTTTTGCCGTTTATTCGGAAATGTTGAAAAGGTTTCTATTATTAATAAATTTTGATAAATTTCACAGAGGAATTATTAATATGTATCTATGCGTAATAGGTTTGTCATAAGTTTTTAAACCATTTCATTTTTATATACGACATAACTAGCCTTTCCGAGAAGGGCTTCTCATTACAATCGAGAACTAATGTACCCAACTACTTAGCAGCTTAGCAATCTTATCTTATCTGAGGTAATTGATTCTTTATAAGCTTCAGCTGATGGAATTATATACTATGTATATGTATAAATATAAGTCTGACTGCAGTAGTTGCCAGCAAATGCAATTGTTGCTATTTCACTTGAACGTCAAGTGTAAATGACAGCTCTAAACAACTGGACAACAGGCAACAACAAAAGCAACAAAAACAACCAAGAGACAACAACAATGCTGAGAAGCAAAACTGTTTTGCACGCCCCGAGGCGGTCTTCTTGTGGTCAACAGTGTGTCTGTGCCTTGTCCCTCGTCCGGTGGCTCTGGGCTGCTGTTGGTTGCCACTTGAATGACTTCATGTGCCCCTGTCGGAAAACTTGAAAAACTTGTCTTTGTCTTTGTCCAGAGCTAGAGTCCACGGGCAGTGTCTGAACCAGAGCCATAACCACACGTACTCGGACTCGAGAGACAGCCAGGTGAGGAGCGAAGAACAAGCGCAATGATGGCGACTGGGACAACAAATGAGTGCAACTGTTTTCTAGAACGAACTCCATGCAGTCCAGTTCAGTTCAGTCCAGTTTTCACAGAAACAGACCAAAACAGAATAAAACACAAGCACAAGAGAAAGAGCTTAAAAAAACCCAACCAGAACAAACAATGTCCACTGACTTCTGGCTTCCAGCTCCAAGCTCCAAGTTTGGCCAACAACAACAAGCCGACGACGACGACGACCATTTCTTCTTCTGCCTTTGACTACAACTTTGTATCTTTCGCAGATCTTAACTGCGTCCCCAGAACGCGCTACCATCGTCCACATTCGCCAGCTGTCTGTCCGTCTCGACGGTCAGTTAGGGCAATTAACATGCAATTAAAAGACGTTTCAATCTAAACAACTTTTGAGCGTAGCGTACATATTGCCACTTTGCACGGCAGACGCACACACGCTCGCACACACACACACACACACACACACACTCGCACACGCACACACTCTAAATGTAATTTAAGTATCGTAAACACTTTTAAGATCTGCCCTGACAAGCTTTGAAGCGCCGATGTCCATATCTACAGTGCCTCTCTCTCTCTCTTAATGCAAAATAGGTAGCCACAGCCAAGCTATAAAACATTAGATATATAAACAAATCTTATGTTTTGCCAAGTTTATCATGCAGCTTTTCATAAAACTTATACACTTTTTAAGCTATGAGCCTTGAGTCATGAATTGAGCTGAGCTAAATTGAAGAAATAAGAAATGGGAAAAGCTGAATACTGCACAGAAAATTGTCAGTTGCTTACAGTTTCTCGACAAAAGGAGTGTCAATCTACAGAATAGACATTATAAAGTCCTAATCGGAATACAGAAATTTCACATAGCATTTCCGAAACTAAGAAGGTATTTTATTTGCTCGTCCAGCCAGCCAAAGGAGAGTTAATTTTTTTTGCAGTGACAATACATTTTTTAAAAGATTGAATAAAATTCTTTATAAGCTATATTTATTTGGAAAATAAATTAGAAAACTAGGTAGAAAAAAGTTATTGAATAGAGTAAAGAAATTTCTAAAAGAATATAGATTATTAAGTAGATGGGATAAATGGATAGTTATGGGAAATCACAGTTCAGGTGGGCTACATTTTTGGCCTGTCTGGAAAGCTTTATAAATATTACCATTTTTTGAAAAAATTTTAAATTGTTGTTGTGAAACACTCACAATTTGTAAGCTCCTAAAATATATTCACTGGTTCGGCTCACGGCTTTAACCAACGCTCTGCACTTATTTCCAGTTCGTGAAGCCAGTTCATCGCATCCTATTCATTTTTTTTTTTTCAAAATTGTAATAATTATATTAATATTTTTATTATTTTGTATTTGCCTGTTGTTCTGAAAATATTGGAAATCACAAATATTTTCATATACGAAATGCGGGCTAGATTAAATTCAAAACCAAAATTGGCAACTCACAAATTTGGTTAGATAAATGCAATTGTTGCTCCAAATTTTTTATTGTAAGCTCCAGTGTTTTTTTTCAATTATTTATATTTATTTATTATTTTATTTATTTCTACAGTATTTATTCATATTTTTCATCAAACCCGAATCAAATCATTTTTTCAAGTTCCGAATTCAAACAAGTTCAACTTCGGTTGTAACTGAAGCTCTTAACTTTAGTATGATTGTTAAATTTGATTATATATTTGGCAATATATCCTTAACTACACCCCTGAATTATTGGCTCAGTGTATTTTTAACCAAATCTTATGCACATTTCATTTATTAATCTATTGCAAGGAGAAAGATAATGAATTGTTATAGTTGAAATGGATAATTTTAGAATTAAGCTTTTTATGAGAATGGTTTTTCTTATTATGAACAATTTATGCTAGTTATTATTAATAATAGTGGTTGAATTATAAATGAAAATAATTATGATCTAAGTCTAGCCAACTTTGACAAGTTACAAGTGTTGTTTGCTTCAATATTCTCTTTCGCCACGGCAATTTACAATTGTGAGTATGTGAATATTTATACAAATTTTTGCTGCAGAGTTGTTTGCTACTCAAAGTACTTTTGCGGGTTATGTCATTTTTCGTGTAAATGGCCCACAAGAAAAACAACATAAGCAACAAAAGCAACAACAATAGCGTTCATAATTTTAGAAACCCGACCCTTTTTGAGACTAAGTCGCAACATCAAATTGAGGCGTTTGTTGATTTTTGAAAGCGTTTCCATTTTGTGGGGGTTAAATCAGTTGAACTTTTAATTATGTTTGTTTCGTTATCAATTGAAATGTTCTGGACACTTTTTAGTTTCTGTATGCACACAATTCTAGTACAGACAATTTCATAAGTCGTTCTATAGCATGATTATCGTCATGTTACGTATTTGTCAGGCACAATTCAATGCCAACCCGCTCACGTTTTAGACGGCAATTTGTTGGCTATTCGATTTGGATACGCTCTAAAGAGCATAGCGAATTGCATATGTGCCTATTGAGGTGCCATTATCTCGAACATGAACCTTACATCGGTATTGTCAGACACACCTGAGCTCTTGCTGTTG